CGTCGGGATTGCCACGCTCCGTCTGGACGCCGCCGACACTCTCGAGGACCTCCGGCTGGAGAGCCTCCCGGACATGTTGTCGGTGGACGTGAACGCGCCAGGCCTCCGCGAGCTGCACATTTTCCTTCCCGAGGAGGCCGCGGCCACAAGGGTCTCAGCCCCGAGGCTAGAGATGGTGTCCTGCTCCGGCACCTCGGACCACCTACCGCTGGAGCTCGCCGGTGGGGCATCAGCTAACGTCCGGCGTCTGCAAAGCCTCGGGCTATGGTCGCATGGCCATCCCCCGGGCCACCCAGAGGGATACATCAATGCCGGCGTCGTGTGGCTGCTGGAGCAATGCTCTGCCGCGGAGAGCCTGAATGTGAACATATCCCCGCCGTTCTGCGAGGAGATGGGCAGCGAAGAGATAATGAGCCTCATGCCGGCGCTCCCCAATGTCACCGACCTGGAGATAGAAATAACCATGTCATCAGGCCACCGCTTTGGTGCCAGCGTCGCCAGGTTCATCCGCCAATGCAGCAACGTCCGACTACTCTCCGTTGATGTCAAAGACACGGTAGGCTCATCACATCACGTCCGTCGATTGCAAAATTAAGCACTGATAACTACTCCTTTCATTCAAAAAAGCTTGTCCCAAGCTTGTGTCCTCTTAAATGGATGTATCTAGCACTAACTTGATGCTGGATACATCCATTTAAGGAAGAGGAAGTAGATGATAATGGTCTTTTCGTAGGGGAGCTAATCATATTGTTCTTGTTGTTTGATCCATGCAGTACTACACACTGTGCACCAACCCTAGATGCTTCTGCGGCTCAGATTGCGAGGGGAACGTGGAGATGTCGCTGCCACACCTCATAGAAGCCAAGGTCTCCGGCGTGCGCCCGGTGGAGGATCACATGAACCTGGTGCGGCGGCTGGTGACGAGCGCGCCAATGCTAGAGAGGATGACCGTAGAGTTTGAGTTGTGGTCGCCGTCTTGGAAGAAGGATAGAGGCTATAGGGTTGTTGTCAAGGATGACCTCCCAGCCTGCGATGGAGCGCGCTGGACTCCCGTTGACGACGATGGGTTGTGCTATGAGTGGACGCCGGAGAAGCCAGGTGGTGAAGCAGTTGAAGAAGAGGCTTTGAAAGCTCGCTTAAGCAAACTTGACATATAACTCCCCCAAAATAGATCATCTTCAAATTTAGGCTTTGTTTGTGGCTGCTGAATTGTTCAGTGTTGTGTTTATTTTATTATACTCCCTCCGTATTTACTCCACATATTAGATTTGATCAAAGTCAAACTTAATAAACTTTAACCAAGTTTATAGATAAAAATATTAACATATACAATAAAAATCAATACCATTAGATTCATTATTGAATTTATACTTTCAAATCATATATATTTGCTATTGTAAATGTTATTTTTTTCTATAAACTTGATCAAAGTTTATGAAGTTTGACTTCAGTCAAATATAATATGCAAAGTAAATAAAAAACGGAGGGAGTACTTTATACTGCTGAAAATTGAGCATGAATGGACGGAGAAGGTTCTGGTGCAGGATGCACGGCGATGAATATGGATGGGTCGGAGCAGTCTGGCGCATACGTGGAGGACGTCCATACGCCCGCAAACCTCCTACAGGACCGTTGAGTGTGAGTATGGTTTGTAAGAATTCGGATGCCCACAAACATTTCAAGGAAGGCGTTGAAAGGTTCAAAGTGTCCGGACCTTACGGTCTGGACGTTTACGGACGGTTTGATGTAGGTTCCTACAGATTTATTTTCTTAGTTACAGTACAAAGTGCCCTTAGTTACAGTACTAATTGTATGTTCCTACAGATTTATTTTCTTTACAAAAGGACACGTGTAACCTTTGATTCTGACAAAAATACATACTTAGCCTGTTGATCAGCGGCCATTTCTATAAAAGAACAAAGGTTATGGACGTGTAGTTAAAGTACACATGGGCTCAAATGCTTTTGGTGTGAACAGTCAAATAAATAAATAGAAAAAAAATCAAAAATCTTGAATCTTTTTTTGTGTGGCATACTTTAAGAAATGTTTGTTGTGCATGTAAAATTTCATTATGAAATCACATTCGTGGAAGGTATTGTCAAAACAATGATGCTCAGCGTCGGTGGGCGTGTGGAGGTGTGTCTCCGGCGGATCTGTCCTTCGTGGATTTGCTTGGATCCGGTCGTAGTTTGCATACGTTTGTGTGTGTTCAAGTTGGATCCTTTTGATCTACGCTACTCTTCAATAGCGATGGTTGCTGTTCTGGTTCGCTAGTCCTATGGTTCTTAGCATGACGACTTTCCGGCTATCTACTACAACAAGTTTTGCTCGGCTCCGGCGAGGGAGGGGCGATGACGGCGGCGCGCCTTCGGCTCGCTTGAGTGCTTATAGTCGTCGCTAGCTGGTCTACGGATCTGGATTTAGTTTTTAGAGTGAATTCCGGTTTTTGCCCTTTATTTTGACATTTTTGACACTAATTACCCTATTTAGTGAGATTTCATCAATTTTACCCCATTTAGCAAAAGTGTTACCACAATTTACCCTGTTTAAAATTTTGTGAGCATTCTGACCAGTGGGTCATAATTGTCAGTCTAGCTGGCATGCCACGTCGGTGGTTTTTCCTGCTTATTTTACTCATCGTTGAACCGGGCCGTTCAGGGCACAGATTCTCCTGACCGGCTCGACATGATGGAGGTCACTCACATCACGTCCAACGCACAACGCTTGAGTCAGCCGCGCGCCACGCTGGCCTCCAGTCGCTTCTAGCTTGTGTTGCTTGCCCTAATCGAATGCATCGCCTGTCCAGGCTTCCGACCGAACGCACCCGTGAGGCTCACTCGAACCTAGGGTTAGGTATTATCCAACATCGGCGATGGCGACACCGACAGCGGTAGCGGTGGGTGTTGAAGGGCCGGTCGTGCGATTTCATACCTCCATAAGCAGGGCCGTATGGGCCGCCACATCAAGGTAAGAAACGACCCCGTGGATTTCGATGGCTCCATCAAGCTCGCCGACATCGGGCTGGGCACGTCCATGTACGTGACCCGCTGCACTGAGTTCTTCTTCTTACTTTGACGACATAGCAGGGACCTCATTGTTGGTTTTGAAATGCTAGATCGATTCACCAGGACCAAACGTGCAAGCTAGCCTGACAAGGAAGCTAGCACAGGTGGATTGATGAACAGTGCCACATGCACATGCACGCGTGCGAACGTGAACTAGCGCTACATCCGATCGGTCGATCACGATGCCGGTCGGCAGAACACCTGGGTAACTTGGCCATCGATGGAAGAAACTCTGATCGATAGATTGCAACAGGCTAGTCTCTAGCCTCACATTTCTTTATTGCTTTGATCTGGTGATATTAGAACGTGGTGTACAAAGATATATATAGCACCTAGCCCTAGCCAAACTGAGCCTATTTTGCTAAATGGGGTAAAAACGGATGAAATCCATTTAAATGGGGCAAATAGTGACAAAAATGTCAAGATAGGGGGTAAAAACCGGAATTCACTTTATATTTTGTTATTTTTGGTGTTCGGTGTACTGCCATGCATGATTGAAGATGAATAGATTAGAAGTTTCCCGCAAAAAAATGATTTCGTGATGAAACGTTGCATTCACAACAAACATTTCTTAAAGTATGCCACCAAAAAAATCAGTTTTTTTAATTCTCTAATTTTTTAAAATTTTATGTTCATACTAGGAGCATTTCAGCTCAGGTAGAAAGGTAGTTCCGAAAGGTTGTCATCTTTTCAAATCTTTCTAGAGAATAAAATGATCCTAGGTCATGCTTCATATTGTCCATCAAAAGAAGAAGAAAAAAACAGGTTTACCGCATGGTTCCAAATACAAAAAATTCAGTGACTCTACGACTTTAGTGCACCGATAAAGTATACACATTGACTTGTTTGGAATGGTACGGTTATTTTGTTGAAGCACAATTATCCTATGTTTGAAGAGGCGAGAAGTGAGCGTATTGACCAGCAGCTCAGCTCATAAACCACTACAAATATACAGAAAAAGGAATTTTCTGCTTCGCGACATGCGTACGAGAATTCAAGCGCATAAATGTTCACGGAGCGTGTAAATTGTTTTAGTTGGACGTGTTTCTTCACGAAGCTGGCCAACTAACCTCTCTGGTCTGGTCTGGTCCCAAACCCGGCGACGGCGGCGGAGCGATTCTTCAGTTTGGGTGGAGGGACTCTGTCTCTGCGGGACTTCTTCTGCAACGAGCCCCGGACTGACATCGTCTCGGCCCTATTCCAGCCTCAGCGAGTGAAGGAATGAGGTACAAAGCTGATGTAATCATGTTCTTTTCTTTCTCCGTAGAAGAATCCTATTATCCGGTGAAGCCAAAGGGAAAGGGACCTAGCTACCCACTGAAATTCACGTGCTACCATTCCTTTGAGATTGAGAATCCTGTCTTTCATGCAGAAATCGTCTTACAACCTTGTGAGTGAAGAAATAGGGTACCAGTTCCAACAAATGACTACATACGAAGCAAAATAAGTGATTCTTTACTCTAAAATATGTCTACATACATTCGTATATTGTAATCCATTTAAAATGTCTATAAAAAGACATATAGAGTATTTAGGAACAGAGGGAGTAGCATACTGTGAAACCAAATGAAGGGGCTTTCTTTCCTGTCCTGTGACACTCATGCAGCCATTCCTACGATCAAGGCGTGCTTGTTTTCGGTGCCGCCATTCCTACGAAACTGAGAAGAATGCTACGTCTTTCGTGTGGAAATCGTCCATCGATCCTCGCACCATAAGGAAAGAAGCGCATCCTCCAACTTGTCGCCTTTAGTTTGCTTGATGCCTTAGCGGGGCAACATAAGAAAAGAACCACATCCTCAAAGTTGTCTCTCACCTTTGGTTGATGCCTTGCAGGTCCCAATTCCCACACCCCAACCACACCTTCCACACAACTTCTCATTTCCATTCATTTGCCATTGTTGTAAACTGCACACCACCTTCTCCAAATCAAGCAAGATGGATGCCCAGGGCGCTGTCGACTCACTCCTTGGCCGCCTCACCGCCATCCTCGTCGACGAGGCGCAGCTGCTCGGCGGCCTCCATTGCGACGTGGAGTTCATCAAGGATGAGATGGAAAGCATGAACGGCCTGCTCCTCCACCTCATCGAGGCGCACCACCGCGACCACCAGGTGCGCGCTTGGATGAAGCAAGTCGTCGACCTCACCCGCGACTGCGAGGGCAACGTCGAGCTCTACATCCACAGCGTTACAGACGCTGGCCACCACGCTAGTGGCTTCCTGGGCTACTTGCGGCACATCGTCCGCTATGTGCGCACCATCCCGGAGAGGCACCGGATCGCAACGAGGATTCAGGAGCTTAAGGTCAGGGCACGCGATGTAGGCGACAGGAAGCTGAGGTATGGTGTCACCGTGCCACCGGCTGCTGACCAAGCTGACCCGATATTCATGGGCGACGTACCCCATGGATCAGAAGATGAGGAGGAAGATGCTCACAGACGCTCTCTTCTTATCAATTGTCCGGACGAAGTGGCTTATATTGAGAAAATCATTGATGATATCATCAAGTCTTTGCTAGCTGAGGAAGAACTTGTCCAAGATCCGGCAAACGGGGACTCACACCCTAGGATATTTCTTATAATCCCACCGAGGTATGATTACCTTGATATGGATATGATTACAAAGAAACTGTATAAGCGGAAAATGTGCTCATTTAGTTGCAAAGCCTTGGTCCACTACGGCAAGCAGTGCTTCTCTGAAGTCCACGTACTGCGGGAAATACTGCACCAAGTGGCGCCCCTTCCAGCTGAACAAGACATGCTCAGGGTGGAACTGGAGAAGAGTTCGGAAATATCACCCAGTATTGATGTGGAGGATGAGACCATGCAACTCAGGAAGAAACTTGAGGGGTATCTCAAAGGTAAACGGTTCTTGATCATTGTTCGAGGTATCGATGATAAGTATGACTGGAAAAGCATAGGCCCTGGTCTGTTACATGCTACTGCTCACGGTTCTCCTGATAGTGCTATCGTCTTTACAAGATATTCTGAAGATTTTTTCATCGAGTCCCCTTATAAAAAATTGAAACTACAAAGTCTATTTAGTGCTTTCTGCAATAATACCAAGGAGCTTTGTTCTGGCAGTTCTGGATATGGAATAAGACAAATTTTACATTTATGTCAGTCCGATGTCTTTGCAATGAAGATGTTCCAACATCTTATGTATGTTAACGGTGCAAGGGGTACAACACAGATAGACAACTTCGTAGGAACCTTAGAGGGTTGTGAGCTCTTGGGTAAAAGTGTGGCAAAGCAAATGGTGAAGTTCTCCTACAATGACTTGCCTGCCAAGTACAGGAGCTGCTTGCTCTACCTAACTATTTTCCCGCAAGGTGACCACATTAGGAGATCAACTGTGTGTAGAAGATGGATAGCTGAAGGCCTGATAACATCCAGGGAGAATCATGCAGAAGATGAAGCTGATTCATGTTTCAATGCCCTCCTCTCCAGGAGTCTCATTCAACCTGGGGAGATCGATGACATGGGCAAGACCAAGACCTGCACATTACATCATGTTGTTCATCAAGTCATCACCAGGATTGCTAGAGATATAAACTTTGCGGACACGGACCTACCACCCAATTTGGCTCGCCACCTTTCCATTCACAGCAGAACTGAGGTGCAAGCATCTCACACAGATCATGCGTTGCAAGCAGCTGATGGCGCTGGCATTGTAGCACTTCTTCCATATTTGGCAAAGTCATCTCAGTGGCAGCTAATGAAGGTGCTGGATCTAGAAGGTTGCAGAGGCTTAAAGAAGCAACATTTGAAGATCATCTGTAAAATAATATTGCTGAAGTACTTAAGCCTCAGGAACACAGATATCACTGAACTACCGAAGAAAATCGAGAAGCTGCAATGCCTGGAGACCTTGGACATCCGGCAAACAACGGTACGGGCCTTCGCCACAAAATCAGTCATGCTTCCAATGCTAAAGCATCTATTCGTTGGTCAGGCTGAGTCTCCAAGCAACATCACTGATAGGTCTCAGGATTTGTTTACGGCCGTGCGCCTTCCGAGCAGCATCAGAAGAATGAATCAGTTGGAGACACTGTCACATGTTGAAGTTTCCCACAGTGTTAATGATTTAACTGGTGTTGGTCATCTATTACAGCTGAGGAAACTGGGTGTGATTCTCCAGGGTAAGAAAGGTGGCCTGAGTTATCTATTTCAACAGATCGAAAAATTACATGGTTGCCTTCGCTCCTTGTCTATTCAGATCAACGAACCGGTTTCTCAAACTGAGGATACTCTTAGCTCAGAGGAGGTGGTCACATTAGCCTCCCCTCCAAACCTTCTTCAAAGCTTAAACATTAGCGGCATCACAAGTGGGTTTCTACTCTGGATTGCAGAGCTCGATCAACTTACCAAGATAACACTGAGCCAGACTTACCTAGGGGAAGATGATATATGCATCCTCGGCAAGCTTGCAGCTCTGCGCTGCCTCAGGCTTCGGCGCAGTTCATACGCCGGCAGCGGGCTCACATTCAAGCAAGAAGAGTTCAAGATCCTCAGGTCCTTGGTCGTTGATGATGGTACCATCACCGACATTATCTTTGACACTGGAGCCGCTCCCAAGCTGGAGAGGATTGTGTGGTCCTTTGCCAAAATGGAGTCTATTTGTGGACTCCTCCGCCTTCCCAAATTGAAGAATGTCGAGCTCAATGGTGACTGCGACCCAGATCCAGTGAGACTAGCACTTGAAAAGCACCCCAACCTTCCTGATTTCAAGCACAAGCCACACCAGGGGCAACAAGAAGATAGAGCTGTGGTTGCTGCCTCACCTCAATGAGCAAATGGTCAGCGTTTGCCTGACTCATCTATCAACCTTCAGTAAAGAAGCAGCTGAAGGAAGGCCAAGTCATGTTCTTCTGGTCTCATTCATCATTGAAGCCAAATTATTTCGTCAGTCTTCTGTGTGTTTGGTTTAGTTATTTGTACTCTGCATACTTGGATTATTTGTGTGCGTGCCTGTGTGTGTGTGAGCTGCATGCTCTGGTCTGTAGTGTGGTACTGTCTTGTTTACTGCATGTAATGCAACGTTTGAGCAGACAATATCATTTGTGTTGTATTTGTTTTGACTGCTGTGTAATAAAACATGGGGTTTCTTGTGCTAAATTTTGGTAGCCCGGTGCACGCAGCTCCCATTTGTGGCAGTATCTGGGGAAGGGTCCGACCACTTTGAGACTATTGTACGCAACCTTTCCCTAAATCAAGATCGAGGTATTTTCTGTCATATTACATTTCCACGGTTACCGCAGATGTAGAACTCGCGCTCTGGATTACTTCGTGTGTGCAACATATGCCTATCAGCAAGGCGTCCACAGGCGCAAAAGAGCACAGGTGCCCTCGCTCGGGTCCTGGCAGCTTCACCGGTGGCATAGCTGTCGAATTGAAGGGACGTCGTGCTGCAGCGGGATGATTCGCCAGACAGGGCTGGCTGCATTGGCCGTGGCGAGCACATGTCGTGGCCAACAGGGCCAGATGAGAGCTCGGCCAAGGCGGCGGAGTCCCAAACTTGCGACACGCCCCGCGGACGTTGGCTCGCACGGGGGCTCGTGCCGATTCGACAAGCTCCGGTGGGTCCATTGTCACCAAAGCAGCTGACTAAGAGGGAGTAGAATTTTATGGACAATGGAAGTGAAGGTATTTGAGAACAAGCGGCTGCCAGCACATCTATAATAGTGCTGGCGCCAATGAAAAACGACGCGCCACAAATGGAAGTTGTGGCTAGCCGTTTTTCCACTAGTGAATGGGGTACTTGTGGATGTTCTTTCTCCATGTAATCCTGTGAAATCCCAATTTCCGTCTTCCTTTTTGAGTGGTATTCCTTTTGAGTGAAACTCGTGTGGCTATTCATGCAATCTTCATTCCTTTGGTCCACCATTCCTACGATATTGAGAAGAATCCTATGCCTTTCATGTATAAATCGTCATTCCTAGTGTCTTCCATACGGCACACCAGATCTCGCAGCATAAAGGAACAACCTCATCCTCAAACTTGTCACCTTTGCTTGATGCCCTACCATCGCAGCATAAGGAAAGAAGCAGATGCTCAAAGTTGTCACCTTTGATTGGTGCCTTCAAGGACCCAAATCCCAGGTCCCAGCTACACCTTCCATACAACATCTCATTTCCTTTCGCTTCCAATCCATTGATGTGCAGTGCACATCACCCTCCTCCAAGTCAAGCAAGATGGATGCCCAGGGCGCCCTCGACTCGCTCCTGGGCCGCCTCACCGCCATCCTTGCCGACGAGGCGCGACTGCTCGGTGGCCTCCACGGCGACGTGCAGTTCATCAAGGATGAGATGGGGAGCATGAATGGCCTGCTCCTCCACCTTACCGAGGCTGACCACCGCGACCACCATGTTCGTGCTTGGATGAAGCAAGTTGTTGGCCTCACTCGCGACTGTGAGGGCAACGTCGAGCTCTACATCCACAACGTTACAGGCGCTGGCCACCATGGTGGTGGCTTCTTGGGCTACTTGCGACACATTGTCCGCTATGTGCGCACCATTCCGGAGAGGCACCGGATTGCAACTAGGATCCAGGAGCTCAAGGTCAGGGCTCGCGACGTGGGCGACAGGAAGCTGAGGTACGGTGTTACCGTGCCACCAGCTGCTGACCAAGATGATGCGATATTCATGGACGATGCATACAAGCACCAGGGGCAGGAAGAAGAGGAGAATGATGCTTGGAGACGCTTTCATCTTGTTTATTATCCAGAGGATGAAGAGGCTTACCTACAGAAAATCATCGATGATAACATCAAGTCCGTGTTGCCTGAGGAAGAACCGGTTGAAGAGCTGACAAGTGGGGAATCAAAGCCGAGGATATTCCTTATGATGTTCAGCCAACATGATTTGGCAGACAAAAGTAATTTCTTACATTCTAGTATTACTGAGGGACTGTATGAGCAGAAAATGGGATCATTTAGTTGCAAAGCCTTGGTCAATGTGTACACAAATGGGGACTTCAAATCTTTGGCTGTAATACTGGGGGAAATACTGGACCAAGTGGAAGCAGAGAAGAGTACGGAAACCTCACCGGGTGATAACGAGAAGGATGAGGCGATGCAACTCACCAAGAAACTTGAGGGGTATCTCAAAGGTAAACGATTCTTGATCATTCTGCAAGGTGTCAATTCCACGGATAATTGGAATAGCATAAGGTCTGCTGTATTACGTGCTACTGCTCATGGCTCTCCTGGCAGCACTATAGTCATTACCACAAATTCTTATGACTTAGTATGTGAGTCCCCTTATGAAATCGTCAAACCACAAGGTCTATTAGATTATTGGCGTGATAAAACCATGATGCTTTTTGGTGAGATCATTATTCCATATGAAAGGGAAAGTTATGTGTCAACCGTTGCAGCATTATGTCGACACGACCGCTTTGCAATGAAGATGATCCAACATCTTTTGTATGTTTACCCTTTAAGGAGTGTTCCACAGCTAGAGAATATTATAGCAACCTTACGTGATTGTCAGAAGTCGAACAAAAATTTGGGAAAGCATATGTTAAGGCTTTCCTATAATAAACTACCTAGCAAGTATAGGAGATGCTTGCTGTACCTAAGTATCTTCCCAAAAGGTGACCGCATTAGGAGAACAACTGTGTGTAGAAGATGGATAACCGAAGGACTGATAACATCAAGGGAGAATCATGCAGACTACGAGGCTTATTGCTGCTTCGATGTGCTCTTCTTGTCGGGTTTCATTCAACCTGTGGAGATAAGTGACATGGGCAAGATCAAGACCTTCACATTACATCCTATTGTTCATGAATCCATCAGCAGGATTGGTAAAGATCTAAACTTTGTGGACACGGTTCTTCCGTCCGATCTGACTCGCCACCTTCCAATTCACAGCAGAACTAGGGTGCAAGCATCTCACGTGGATCATTCCGTGCAAGCAGCTGCTGGCAGTGGCATTGTAGCATTTCTTCCGTATTTGGCAAAGTCATCTCAGTGGCAGCTAATGAAGATGCTGGATCTAGAAGGTTGCAGAGGCTTAAAGAAGCAACATTTGAAGAGCATCTGTAAAATAATACTGCTCAAGTACTTGAGCCTCAGGAACACAGATATCACTGAACTGCCTAAGCAAATCGAGAAGCTGCAGCGGCTAGAGACGTTGGACATCCGGCAAACAGCGGTACAGTCATTCCCAACAAAATCAATCATGCTTCCTATGCTAAAGCATCTGCTTGCTGGCCAGGGCAACAACTCTGATAGGTTTCAGGAGTCATTTACGGCTATGCGCCTTCCCAGCGGTGTCAGAGGAATGAAGAAATTAGAGATATTGTCTCGTGTTGTTTCTGACAATGCTGATGATTCAATTGATGTTGGTCATCTGTTACAGCTGAGGAAACTGGGTGTGATTCTTTCTGGTAAGAAAGGTAGCTTCGGTCATCTATTGCAACAGGTTGAGAAATTGCATGGTAGCCTCCTCTCCTTGTCAATCCAGATCAACCAAACACCCGAAGTTGGGGATACTCTTGGTGCAGAGGAGGTGGTCACATTAGTCTCGCCTCCGAAACTTCTTCAAAGCCTGAAAATCAGCGGCATCACAAGTGGGCTCCTCTTGTGGATTGCAGAGCTTGATCAGCTTACCAAGTTAACACTGAGCGAGACTTACCTGACAGAAGACTATATATGCATCCTTGGCAAACTTGCAGCTCTGCGTTGTCTCAGTCTTCGGCGCAATTCATACACCGGAAGCGGGCTGACATTCAAGGAAGGGGAGTTTAAGAGCCTCAAGTCTTTGGTCGTCGATGGCGACATCATCACCAACATTACCTTTGACACTAAAGCGGCTCCCAAGCTTGAGACGATTGTGTGGTCTTTCGCCAAAATGGAGTCTATTTCTGGATTACGCGACCTTTGGTCGTTGAAGAAGCTCGAGCTCAATGGTGACTGCAACCCAGGCCCAGTGAGAAGAGCACTTGGAAAGCACCCATATGATCCTGAATTTAAGCACAACCCACGCCATGGACACCAAGAAGATGGAGCTGTTGTTGCTGCCTCACCCCCATGAGCAAATGATCGATTTTTCTCCGTCAACCAGAAACTCTCTTTGGTTGGTGTTTGCCTGGCTCATTTATCATTCTTGAATAACGAAGCAGCTGAAGGAAGGCCTGGTCATTTTCTTCCAGTCTCATTCGTCACTGAAGCCGGATTATTTCAGTCTTATGTGTGTTTGGTTCAATTATCTGTACTCTGCATACTTGGACTCTTTCTGTGTGCGTGTTTGTGCGTGTGAGCAGCATGCTCTGGTGTTTATTCTTCGTTGTACTGTCCTGTTTACTGCGTGTCATGCAACGTTTCAGCAAACACTACTATCTGTGTTGTACTTATTGTCTTCATTTTCATGTAATAAAACAGAGTTTGTTGTGCTAATGTTTGATGGAATAGATTCCCATATGTTGTTCATGTATTATTATCACTGGTGAAAAGACTGGAGGTTCCCCAATGTCAGTCAGAAACTTTTCTGTCTTCTGTCTAAGTTGCTCTGAAATAGGTGGTGGAGGTGATCCTGTAGATACTATAACTGTCATTTTAAGTTGTTACTCTGATATTTCGTCAGAGTAAGCTAATGCAGTCTTCTGCTCTAATGTGGCTTTGAATGCCATAGGTTCAATGGACGCACTATTATAGTGCCTGTAGTTAGAATCTGCAATGATGTTTCTATGACAGAATGTCCGTGTCCTAGATCAGATTTGCCTGAGTCTCTGTGAATATCCTATAGAAGGATGTTCGTCCTGTTCGGTAGCCATTGAAATTGCTAGACCAATTAATGTTCTGTCTTTGATTAACCTGTGCATTGCAGAGTAGAGAATAGGTGACAGAAATCCAATGATTCAGAAGGTGTCCTCCTCTATTACTGAAACTATTAATCCTGCTGGGGGATAAAAGATTTGTAACAGTGACCAGTCTTAATCCTAGCTGCACGACTATTCCTATCTGTGTGACAGTATATCAATCCTAATTACAGCATATCAATCCTAAAAGACATTATTTACTGACCTTTAGAAATAGTAAATCTACGTAAACTGAATTCCCAGCTATTGGAGTGTCTGAACCTACATGCCTCATGAGGAAGTCTAACACCTGCAAATAGGCCAATAGAAACTTCTATTAGAAACCTTTGGCTATTTTATTTTTGTAGCATGGCATCAATTTGTACTGTTTTACAGTGCATAAATGATTAAGAACTGTATGACATATCACTCTAAGATGTGCAAGGAGCTGTTGTATCAATTGGTGAAGCAGAAGCCTTATTCAGAGAATGAAACTTAAGAGCTTGAGAAGTGAGAACTACAACAACATTCACGGATATACTGATATAGATCATGCTGTAACATGTACACTTGCAAAACTTGGTGTAGCTTGAACAGTGACTAGTATGCTGTTCTAACTATACCAATCTGTTTGTTACTTTTTTTTAGGGTTTAGGGTTTGTGGTTTAAGGTCAGGTCAAAGCCCGCCGGCAGCTGCTGCTTCGGATGTACTTGGTCATATTTTTTCAAGAAACCTTGCAAGTATACATGTTACAACATGATATCCACCTAAAAAATATAAATTTTGTGCAAAATTTTGGAGTGGAAAAATGCATCTTGAATATAGGGGAATTGCCACCTAGGTGGAG